GCCACCGCTAGTTGTCCCCAGGGTACGCCTGTGCTACGCGCCCTCTGATGTGTGGCAAGTTACCCCAGGTAGGGTAGGGGAGGCTGGGGCCAGCACTGGGCTGGCACTAGCAGTCTCACCTAGGGTCCTGGGAGCCTCCTGGGGCTGCAGCAGTGGCGATCCTGTTACCCAGAGCCTGGCCAGCAGCTGGACTGTAGCTCCAGCTGGCCAGGCTCTGGTTTTGAGTGGTGTGCACTATCTGTGCTTATGCTGCTCCGTTTTTTTTTTGCATGGTATTTTTTTACCCCTGCATATCCAGGGGTAAAAAAAAAAACCCAAACAACCCACACTGCTTGCAGAGCAGAAAACAGCTGAATGTGTGGCATGTGACACCACAGATGTGTCTGCAGGGCTACATACCACATGGCCACGCTTGTCTGGGTGAGGCTGTAATGTTTGACCTGAAAACACAGTGTGTAATAAGCATCATATTGTTCTTTATTGTGTATGGGTTTGGATTTCCATTATAGGGTTTGTTGGAAAAGAATGAATTATGCATTATCTACCATATTATTTTGATTATAAGTTGGTCCTGTATATGTCGGACCTACATTTCCAGGTTCTATTTCAGGGGAATAAAAACAGTTTTTTCCGCATGTGTAAGTCAATGCTAATATATAGACTAGTACATAAGGAACTGCCCCAGGGAGCGAACTCAATTCCAACAGTTAACCCCTGTCCAGAGGACACTCTAACCTCTATTTACTGCTTGGTAACCACTAAGCCATGGCACAGAATGCCTTCCAGCCCTGCTCTTCAAGTTGGTACATTACATTCTGTATTTAATATTATGGGCTAAAATGGATAGACAGCAATGGAATAGTTTCCGCCTCACTGGGGGACATGGACAAGAGTCAAAACTCAGGGCTCCCTGTCTTTCTAGGCAACATTCATCTCACTAAGTCACCCTCCCTCTAGTTTTTTCTCCTCCTGGGCTCATATTTCTTCCTCTTCTGACTACTCAGAGTCAGCTTCAAAAGGCATTTACTTAACCAGGTTGTCTAGTGGTCAGAGCCCTCTTCTGGGCCACACAACATTTAGGGTCAGACACCTTTGGGTGACAAAGGTCTAAAGCCTGGGCCTCCTTCTCTGGACATGTGCCCTTTCCACTAAACTGTAGGAATAAACAGTTGGAAAGCTGTACCCAGAGCTATGAATGTGTCCGCTTACTTAAACATCAGGCAAGAATAGTTATGTGGAATCTAAACTGTACATGCGCACCAAAAATTGCAGTTAGGTGGCTGCTTACGAGCCAGAAAGATTCATAAAGGTGAAATGGAATTTAGCCTTTAATATCTTGGAAATGCATTAGGAAGAAGAGACGGTAATACCCTCTGCTGGTTTTCTAAGGTTTCTTTACTATGCAACTCTTTCAATTTAAGCTACTGTAAATTCATGTTTTTGTTATTCCTGAAATTTCTTTTCTTGTACTTATCTCAGTTTGTTAGCAAGACTCAGAATGCTCTTTTCTTGTATCACCTCATTATGACTTCTTTTCCTTTATCTGCAAGTCTCAAATTAACTTGACAAAGATGTTTTACATATATTTTAAACTAAATGTGAAGTATTCCCTCATGCCCATGAGGCATTTGGAAAGTTGATAAGTTCTGTTTTCAAGGACACTTTAAATGAGGTTATTAAAATTCAATGTTCTGCATATTCTGATGGAGAATAAAGGTTTGTCCCTGACAACATGGGACATAGGTCAATTCAGAAAAGTTTCTCAATCACCTTATTCATGTCCACTCCATTTTATATGCCAGTCTTTTTAAAGTCTGTGAGGGGTGGTGGGAATTTTCAGGTTCAACAAAAAAAATTGCAGAAGCCTAGTTCTTGTGCAAAAGTTAAAAAAAAAAAAAGCAAAAAAAAAAAAAAAGCAGCCATCTGTTGTTTGTGTTAAATGGATTTCGCAACTGTCATTTCCATAGTGCATGCCATTTCATCTTCACAGCAATATCACTGAAACACCCACAGAGATAAAATCACAAATATTTTGAACATACCATACAAAATGTTATTTTTCTAATTAATATTTGACAAAGACACTCTGAGAACTTGTCTGTAGATTACTTTTGAATTGTGACATCAGACCTTTAAAAGTAGGTGCTATGTAAAAATACATAGAAAGAGACAGAAACAAAGAGCTAGTGTAATCTTTTTTACATTTGAAAAGCATATCAGATATACAATCATTAATGAGTATTACTTTATTGAGCACCTCTCATTAAGAGGATCTCAAAGTGCTTTTAAAATGATAACCCCCCCCAAAAAATAAATCAGTTAATTTAAGCACTGAAATGTCTAATTCTCTGGGTAAAGGGTAGCAACTCCCGGGTGCTGCCTTGGAAGATGTTGATCCTCCAACTTGTACTGAAGTAAACACTGAAGTGATAAGAATTGAGGGCACTTAGCACATTTTAGGATTTAACTACAGCATAACTACAAACTACAGTATTGGTTTGTTGTCTCTGAATCTAGCATCAAACCTATAGAGTCATTATTGTGTAACCACTGAAATTACTCTGGAAAAATAGTAGGACAAAGGGTGGAGTCTATCAGGCAAAACAAATGTTATTTCCCAGGGAAACACAGAAAATAAGATGCGTCTCACTAACTGCACTGTCACATGGGACTAAGTTGTATATCAAACAGCTCTCAAACTAGCAGCGATACCAAACTTCTGCTGCAGTCAGTAGGAATCTTTCCATTGATTTTATTAGGAAGTGGACTACGTTTAAGGAGGAAACATTCTGAGGAGTTGTACAGAACTAAAGTGAGGTTATGACATAAAGATAGATACACATGCACACATGCACACACATATACAATTGCCTATGTGTGCATGTGTGTGTATGTGTATACAAAAAACACTGTAACCACTAATGTATAAGCCCAAGAACAGCCTATGTCTTGGCCTGGAGTAAAATAAAGTTGGTGGTCTCAGTAGCAGTCCCTTGAGTAGGAGTCCATCACAAAACCATCACCCTTAATTTAATACAATTGACAGTTTCTGCTCAGGAGAGGCAGAAGAATGAGTTTCCATGGATACTGAACTACTGCTCTTCTCCAGAGAGGATGATTCTTCTAAGTAAGAACAGAGAGCATGGGCTGAACAATATACAGAGCTCTCACTGCCACTGACTACCCAACACTTATATACTATGATCAGACAGCAGAATTAGCAACTTAATAATCTTTAACAAGCAAATACAAAAAATAACAAGGAATATAATATGAAATCCCTTTTAAAAGTATGAGTATTCTACCAGATTGAAGAGGAGTTGGGGGGAAGGATTTCATATTGATTTATCAGACTTGCCACCTCTACTTAGTGCTTTCCTAATGGGGTGAACATGGTGCTTGACCTATTTGCTGGAATTAACCAGGACTCCAGGAGACCATATGGATTGCCAGATGGCCTGCTATAATTTAATGCCATTTATTCTAAGTATGAAGTAAGTGATAAATATAATTAACATTCTTTTAGCTCCTTTTATTAGTTCTTTTTTTCAGACATTGAAAGGTAAGTTAATACCTTGTTACTGAGACACAGATGCCAGCTAATTACTGCAAGAGGCTGCAGCCTCTAAAGTAAAGAGCCTTTCCATAGATTCCAGCTTACTCAATGACCCCAGTGCAATGATTAATAGGTTGAATGCTAAATTGTAATGAGTATGACAGATCTTAGATGCTTTTCAGGTTACCTTAATTAGCAGAATGATGAACACACCGGACCAGTAACATTTTAGACGTACCTACTGCACTTTATATTAAGCAATGTACCTTGTATCTTATAGTTGTCATCTTATTTCACATCACAATATATCAACTGCTGAGAAATTAAACATAGCTATGTTCAGGTAGTAGAATGATAAAATGATTTCCTTCTAAAATGTTTTTCTAATCATTATTTCATAAACTCCCAATAAATGACCTATTTTTAGGAAGCGGGTATAAAACAGCTGTGGGTTCAAAGCATATTTAAGGTAGGAAAGGTTGCCCATTGCTATCATTTTAAAACTGTATTTCCATGGAAAGATATCACAATACTTGTGCAGAGTTTTCTTTGCTAACAATATTTAGTGATGTAAAGGTCAGTGTACATTACAACAATTCTGTAACCTTTAATTTTGATGTATGGATAAAATTAGGACAGTGTTACTCTTTTAGCCAAAAAAGACTACCTAAAATAAGCATTATCATTAAATTATTTGTATTTGTTCATATCGTAATTGAGCACTCACACTGCTGAATAGCTATAATTAGCTAATAATAATAAAGGGATACATTTTGGGATTATGAAATTGATGGTGTAAATTAAATGTTGATCAGAGATTAAAAACTTCATTAATGTTTCAGGAGAAACTCTCCCTAAACATTGTTGCTGTGATCAAAGGGGCAATTTAAAACAGACTCTGTGCTCCTAGGAGGCTCTACACAGAAGATACAGCTCATGCAGGAGGAATTAGCTTTGAAACACCTTTACACCTCCCAGATTCTTCACAGTCAGGGTGCCAGTACAAGAGCCTTCCCAGCTGAGTGTTCAGCAGTACAAACCAACATTGCCACTTCATTTCCTGCCCTACCACTGCCCTTCAACATAGCAGGGGGCTCTGAGGTAGTGGTAAAAAAAGATAGGCCTGGTACCCCAATCTTACACTGTTGCTGAACTATGGAATTTTTTTCCAGGATTCCTGCGTCTCCTTTTAACCTCCTTTAAATGATTGATGCTGACATCAGAAATCTGCCTGACTCTGAACCACACCTATTTTTATGGCAATAGCATAGCGAGAATCAAAACCTTATTGGACATTGATATAGGTAACAAAAGTATCCACTGACACTGGTAAGAATAAAAAATGGTTTGAGACTAGTATAAGGATAGAAACTTACTGGTCAAAATGAAAGAGGTCATGTGAAGTTTATAAAACCTGATGTTTCTATATTATATTTTTATACAGGTGGCACTTGTGACCGAAGGAAATATCTTCAATAATCCTTAACTGTGTGTCTTGGGGTGTCAAACTTACTTTGTGGCCTGGGCTGGATATGGACCTCAGGGCTTCTTGCAGGCTAGATCTGGACCAGAGCACAAAGAAGATTCTGTGGTGGTGGAAGATCTGAACAGGAACAAGAGCAAGCTCCAGCTCTGGACTGGAGGACATGGTGGCATCTGCTCAAGATCTGCTCCAGCTCTGACTCCAGCCTGGGACACACACCAGGGGCCAGTGGACAGTTAGGTAGGGCTGCAGCAGTGGCCACTGGTGAAGCAGCCAGGGGGACAAGTGCGGTTGTGTCAGCTCTCACTTGTCTTCCTGCTGCTGAATGCTGTTCAGCGGCTTCCCCAGCTGAGCCCAGTGTTCCTCTCAACCTAAGGAACATTCTGAACCCACGTGTCCCACTTTCAAGGTAACTGTTTCCACTACTAGACTATTGTATAAAAAGCAGGTTGCCCTTCCTCCTGATTGCATTTTTATAATGACTGAAGTTTATTCTGTTTTTCATAAAGAACAGGAGCACATACAGGAGAGGAATCCAAATAGACAGAGGTGTCTTCATTGCAGCTCTGACACAGAAATACTAAAACCTCTCCAGAGTTTAGGCACCTTTTTGCTCACAATATGTGTCTTTTGGGTTACTCATCTCAGATGCCTACTTCTGATATAGTGGGCTAGGTGCTTACCTTGAGATTTTGGATTCTATTCTGTTAGCCAGGAGCCTAAAAGTCAGACATCATAGTGCCTAATTAGGTGCCTCCTAAGTGGTGCTTTGATTTTGACTTCTTCTAACCCTAACAGCACTGATTTCGCTAAGGAAAACCAAAAATATGGTTGTCTGGGAATTTCATTCATGCACTAGTAATTTTATCCCCAAAGCAAGGAAAGACAGGTGCCTGCAGGGTATCAAGGACTTGGTCTCCCTTGATAATGCAGTACTGTTTTTCAGTTTAAGAGTGGAATAATCATAAGATTCCACCTGAGACATGTAAGAGCAAAAGGTCTAAAAGCTGAAAGGAAAGTCAAACAGGCAATAGATGTACAGCTAATCCCATAGCTATGTCACTATCTTAATAACTTTCTAAATTTAGGCTTAACCAACTAATATATGATATTAGAATTCCCAAGAGGACCTAAGCTCAATTCTCATTAGAGTGAGTAGAAGCCAAGAGAAAAGCTGGGTTATAGTTCAATGAATATTAAACATTTTGAAAAATGCTGTCATCCCAAGACTATCTGTGAATTTAGATCAACTATATCAAATAGTTTTAAGTAAAAAGAAAGCAATTGGAAATTGGATTCCCTGAATTTTGGTGGTGCCATTCTTTTATTCACCCAGTGGTTAAAGCACTCAGAATGTGAAAGATCCTTAATTCTGTGAGGATCTGGATCTGCATAGCTCATTTCTCAAGTAAAGTCCTCACTGTCTGACAACAGCCTATTTTCCAATTGGTTGCTCCCAGTCTCTCCTGTTGACACTGTTCAAATTTGTATAAATAATTAAACATTCAGTAGTGTAGGACCTAGAATGCAGGTGTCTCATTGCTCAGGTGAATGTTCTAATCACCAGGCTAGACAGAAATTCACACTCTCTCTTTCAATGGCTATTTAAATATTTCATACAAGTGAAACAGCTCCACTGAGGGACTAATAAAAATGCAAATGCAAATACTTAGTGGCCAGGGGAAAAGGCTGGGTTCAATATTGGACTTAGGTACAAACAAGCTAAGTGTTGCTTGACTAACTTGTCCCTGGAGTAGAATTCAGAATGCAGTTAGGCATCTATACAATGCAAACACTGGGCACCTCAAAATAGCCACCTCTAAAAAATAAATAAGTAAATAAATAAAGATAAGTAGGACCCAGCTGAGAGCTAGTCAAGAGGAAATGTTTCAGTCTGTATTGCTTCTTATATTTCACCCCTCTATGGAACCTAACAGAGGGGCTACCATGATCCAGAACCCATAATCTTCTCGTAAGGCTAGATGTCTCCAGCTCGTTTAAAGAACTAAGCAGAACTCCCCTATTTCTTTTTAAAACAGAAGAGGACGTATTGTTGTTTACCTTTTATACAATGGCCCAGATGATTTGAGACCAGTTTTAATGCTTCCTCAACCCGAGGGAGGACAAACCACACCCGTCACCTCCCAGCAGAGTGTCCTAACCACTAAAGGATGGTGAAGCTGTGCCAGAGTGGAAACCAGACTGTAAGATCCATGGGGCTACAGATGGAGGAGACTGTTCAATGAATGCCATAATTACTAGACCACAGTGATATTTGTTCTCTCTTACCATGCAAACCTTGTGTTCTTTGGTGCATGTTGGCATAGCTTTGGTAAAAGGGCTACAGTGCATACAACTCCTTACTTGTCTCAGCCTGGTGGTTAGATCCCTCTCTTGGGAGACCAAAGTTTGAGTCCTCTAATCTCTCGGCAGTTCACTGAATCCAGGTTTCCCATATCCTTGCTGAGTGTCCAGTCCACTAAGTTATATAAAGGATGAGCACCCAGACCTAGTCTAAAGGAAAGTGACCAAAAATGTACTTTCTGATGGGCTTGATCCTGAAGGTGTATGTTACCCATGCTTCATAAACACTTAATGGATCCAGCCCCTCAGGGGTCTTAGGGCAGAATTTTATTTTACTTTATATGCCTAAATGGCAGTCAAACAGCCATGCTAACTGTTGTTTTTGGCATTTATGCATTATTTATAATTCAGTTCTGCACATACTGCCCCCTACTACACATTATATACATTATGCAATTAACTGATTAATCTCACAATAAATTTTGACTGGCCACATGGGCAAAGTAAGACCTACCACACATGGAAAGTAACTATCAAGCAATTAACTAGTTAATTATGCAATAAATTTAGACCAGCCACACGTACAAAGTAATTATCACGCTATAGAAAGGACTGTCCCACTATAAAAAAAGCTAACCAGCTACAAAGTGCTTGAAAATGTGTAACAACTCTATATAGCTGGTTTCTGTCCACCTTTAATTTGAATGTGAGGCACCCACATACCCACTGAATATGCTCAGTAGGGCCTCACTCTGGCTAGCCAGATATGTGGTACCTTGTACTTGCCCAGATACCCATGTATGGTTGGGTAAAATTGTAGCTGGGTAAAAACTGATGGCTAGCAGGTTTTAGATGGAGTAGGAAAAGGGGGTATCTTATGTTTTAGATCAGTAGCCTAAGGCAGGAAATGAGACCCCCAAATTCTAGCCCCACCTCCATTAGGTTTGAACCTCCATTATCTCCTTCCAGCAGAATTTTCACCACTAGAAAACTGGATAGGTATTACCTAGCCCTAACCTGATCAGCCATGAGTCCTAGATCTGAACTAAGTAAATAAATTAATCAAATAATTATTTTTATTCATTAGACCTTCTGCATTTCTCTTTTCTTTTCTTATACAAAGTGACAAAATTAGAAGTGTTTCAATCCTTGTAAGCACTTTTATCCTTAATTTTTTTCTGCAATTTATGTCAGATTTTGTACACATTTTCTCCCTTCATTTCTGACCTGAAATGATTAAATCAATATTTCTTCAGTTCTGGGTTTTATGATTTAAGACCATACAAAACCCGAAAAAGCTGTAATGTTCATAAGTTTCTCAAGCTCCTTACCTCCTGCATACATGACAGCCAACATAATTGATGATATCCAGGCTATTTCACTGTATGATGTGTGGAAGATTTCTTGAATCTCCTTGAAGAACACTGTGATGGCTTTTGGGAATGCATAGGAAAATCCAATGGAGATAAAGGCCCCGAAGACAACCACCCAGCCCCATTCTCCATCTGGGGGTGTATACTGTGGTGCTGTTGATGCAGGTGGCATTTTCAGGCTTTGTCTATTTTCCAACTAAACTATAAAATGAAAAGCAGAAAAAATACAGGTTTTAAATTTAGTACATTGCCTGTAGAAAGTAACAAGACAGACTTCAATAATAAATAGAATGTAGTATAAAGCACAATCATAAGAACAAAACCCTAGAATTAATGGGAAGCCATCAATGCTTAGGTTTAAAAAAAAAAACTCACCTGCAAAAAACTAACAATAGTGACTTGGAGAATCACATTTGGTATGTTGTAACTGTTACAGATCACTGATCCCAGTCACTGAGGGTTGTATGTTGCAATTAATCACTTATGGGAAAGTGACATTTTGGACTGTGCATGAATTGACATAGCTTTATTGTCTTCAAGAACGATCTACCATTTAAACGCTAGCACAGGTAAAAACAACACCAAAAGTTAAAACTTTCCCTTAAAGAAAATGTAAAAAATATATGTGTGTGTAAATGCCATTGTATTAATATCTACTCAAAATTCACAAGTTTCTGAGTAAAATGGTTAATAGCTGCTAATATATTACAATTTCCCAAATTTTCAGTTTTATTATGTGAGAATATTTGAAACAGAAGGTTCTGGATTAAGATTTAAATTTGTCGATTCTCTGTTTTCTCAGAAAAAAAAATATTATGATCTCATGATATGCATTTATTTCTAAATTTTCCACCTGTAAATTAGCTGTTGAAGTGTGTACAAATATAAACTGTAATAAAACAGGTTTTCTGTGAGATGAACACCATCAAGTATAGTTGTAATATTTTGTTCTGCTTACATATGCAGAATGAGGTTTGTATGGGCTTCGGGTAGGTGGCACATTTATAAAAATCCAAATCTACTGCTAGCATAGGGGAAAAAAATCTCAGTGTTTTAACAGTTGGCCTTTAAATGATGATTTGCTATAAAAAAAAGTTTTCAGAATTTGTGTCTTGCAGAGACACCACTTTCTTCTCTCTTTATGGAACATATGAGAAGTGCTAATGCTACAGAGCCCAAAAATTCACAGACAGATCACATCAAAATCCACTGGATCTTAGATAATCAAGGTAGATATTTAGTTCTTTACCCTGGTGTCGTAATGGCTAGCTGTGTTCTGTGTAGACATCAACTCATGACTGTGAAAAATATGTTGCAGTTTTCCAGTCCTGCCCAATGTAATGTCCTCCAACTCTAAACACTGCATTTGTAATCAAACATATTCATCTCTATGCATTTCCAGATCATATGACAGCAACCCACTCTGCCCTCCCCTTCTGCGATTGTTTAGATATCTCTCCATTTGGAAAGCTGAATTGGTCCGCTCCTATGCCAGCACTCAGGAGTCATAGACCCATGATTACATGTAGGTTTCTGTAATGTCTAAGATTGTGAGTAAGCCTTCATGTGATTTTTTTCCCCATGTAATTTATTGAATGTTCAGATGTCTCATTGCAAATTGTATTAGCAGTGGCAGTGATATGATTGCCTTTAATAAAAACTAAAATATGAACTGTCAGCTTAAATTAATCTCTCAGGAGTGTAATTTGAGTACTCTCATAGCAAAGGACATGTATTACTGCATATAGTGTACATCAGAAAACTAGCACAGGGTTGACTTTAAGGTTATCTATCACCAATCAAGCCCATATATAAAGTCCCTGCTCTCTGGTTCTCTACTTCACTGAAGCTGATTGTCAACATCACCTTTATAACAGCAGAAATCTATGGGGCTAAATCAAGCAAAACCACGTTTGGCTTCTATGCAAGGCTGGAAAAGCCCAGACAAACTGGCTTTTGCATCACATCAGACAGCCCTACTTTTGGCAGGAATAGGTATCTATTGTATATATACAGCACATAAATCCTTTTATACATATGCTCAAGAAGAATCCTCAGTCCTTGTTCTAATACTTGGAGAAAATAAAGAATCTAGACAATAGAATGCTATTCTGGTTTCAGTTTTCCAGTTAAGACTGGACTTTCACAAAATACTTAAACCTTAATTAGGACCCAAAACACTTATATAGGTTTCCCTCACTTTATGTGGGTTCTGTATGTACGAATTCACTCTTATGCAATGCCTCTTTTTATACCATAAATTCTTTGTATGCAAGGTAAATTCACTCTTATGCAACCGGTGTGGTGGAAGCTCGCAGTCAGCTGCTTTGTGCAGTGCATTATGGGAGTGACACACACCAAAATATAGTCTCCTGTGTGGATCTGTGCTCTTCTCTCATTGCCTAAGACGTGTTTCTGTAGTTGCCACCCCCATTATGGAAACATTCACCACCACCCTGTGCTTGTGTGTACTGTCTGCTGTTCCCGAGTACCAAAATTGTCTTGTAAAAGTGGTAGAAATGAATCTGGGGTTAGTACTGTTCAGGTCTTGGAACATATTCCTATTTGTTACATTGTAAAGTGGGTTCCCTTTATGTGAATTTGAGTTATGCACCGGTTTTCAGGAACACAAGTACAGCATAAAGTGAGAGAAACCTGTATCTCAAAAACACTGTTTCTCCTAGTCCTCCAAAATTCATAGCAACTAACTTATTCCCTTATAAGAATCAAGAAACAAACATAAATTACCAAGAAATATATTACTTCATGTCTCTCAGTAGACCACTTGGCCAAGTACAGACATTCAAAAAGCCCAAGGCTGAATCTATTCAAACTCTGCAGGCTAGTCTAAGTTGCACAGATTGAACTGATAAACACATGAATACACATTCACTTTTCGTTCTGGAAATGCAGCCACATTCCTGAAGTGACCCAGGCCAGAAGCTGGGGAGGGGACTACTAGAGCATGCCTCCCAGGTGGGCTGGAACAGACAGCTTGGGATATGGCTAACTCATTCATCCTGCGAAGAGGGAAGTAGTGGGGGAGGTGCAAAGCATCCTGGGATGCTGGGGGACTGTGACTTAACTTGAATCTGGAGGGGATTTGGGACAGAAGTTCAATAAACTGATTTAACCTAAATCACTTAAGTCTGATACTAGATCCATCCAGGATGTAGTAGTTTATCTTAAATCCATTCTGACCATTTTGGAAGTGATTTGTGTGCACTGAACTTATATTGTATTCTAGATTTGAACCGGTTTCCAATCACTTACACTGGTTTATGTGTAATTTCTGTCCCTAGCTCTTGAGGGTATACTACAGGACAACTTTAGAAAACCTTACCCACTACAGACAGATTAACTTGTTTTGTTGCAATACTGTTAGCTCAGATCCTATAAAACCACATGCAAATGTTTAGACATGACCCTGTTTTTTCATATTTCATCAGTTTGAATATAAAATGCTTCATGTTCGTGTACCTGCACTTTTATCCCCATTAAAATTTTACTGATGCTGCCTAAACAACATTACAGGTTTAGGACCGAAGTGTAACTGTTTCAAGTGATTTTATGATTGGGAAAGTCTTCTTTTTGTAACAATAAAATATCTCTCTTATAAGATATTGAGTAAAAATAGTTTTTTAAATCAACAAAAATAGAAACCCTCAGGGAATAGCACCACGCCCTTGGCTTCTCCACCAAGAACAGGATTGTATTTGTCTTCTCCCCTGCAAGAGCCTCTGAATGAACCAAAGGTGAACTGGGTGAAAGAATCCACTCAGCTACTGAGCATCCTGCTCAGCTACTGCTGCATGGCCTACTAGATAATTACCCTGTAGCAGTCTCATGATAGAACAAGTATCTGTGTCTATGCCAGATTCTGTAATGTGACAGATATGTGTCTGGCCCATTGTAACTCACCCTTCCTACTGGTTCTACAAGAACTAGTAATAGTATCTGCTCTGCTCTGATATCACTTTACAACCCTGATGGGAAAAAATAAAACAACCTTGTCAATTTTATCTCCAGTTAATAAGAGAAGAAGAGGGAGAAAAATCCATATTTGCACTCTGGGAAGGAACAAAATCAATCATTTTGGCAGAAATATTCAGGTAATGTGCTTATCCCAACATCCCAAAAAGACTCCTACACCTTCCTGGAAGCTAAAAACTGCAAGTTTCTCTTCTAAAACTTTCCCTTCATCTCTCTGAGGCCAAACTCCTCTCAGAGGAATCTGGACACAACAATGCCTCCAAAGATGGGTCGTGAATAACTAGTATGTAAGTGTTTGTAACCAGTGGAGCCAGTGCAGTCAAGGTCACAGTCTGTTAGAAGTCAATATATGCTCTATGAAAATGTGGCTGAGTGGAGAAGGGAAGGAGGAATCATAGAAAATAATTCTCATGATTTCTAAGCGTGTTTTTAAAAGTATGCAGAATAAAGGGAAGAAGAGAGAACATGAAAAGCAAGCATGTGTTTGTCAAAGCCAGCTTTCCACCCAAAGTGTGTGCTGCTGGAATAGTATAAAGGGACCTTACCATAAATAAAGATCAGACTCTGTGTATCTAATCAGAGTCATGTGGATTTCTATCAGACACATAGAGCTAGAAAGTGCGAACAGCTCATAGCTTTACTTTTGCAAGAGATGTAATGGGTGAAAAATGCTGCCTGCCAACCAGGCAGGAAAGAAATAGGGGAATAGTGGCTACAGCCACACCTGAGTGGATCCATCAATCTCAATTCCCCCATAAGACTGTCAGCTACAGAGAAGCTGCTCAGCCTTGCCATGCCCTGAATCAGGTTGTACAGGAAGAGTCTGTCCTCAAAGCTCCTGCTAGTTCCCTGAAAAATCCCATTTATTCAGGCACTGCACAAGGGGCACAGCTTGCCATAATGGGGGAAGCACATATCAGGTAACAAATCAATGGGAAGGAAACACAATGGGCAAATAGATTAAAAATATCATTTCTTACATACCGATATATTTATTACCTAGATCACATTTTCCTGACTAGAATCTCGTTTCCAGACAATAAGAAAACCAGTTGGGCAAATGAAAACCATACAGAGAGATGGCTTTAGATGCAGAAAGTAAGTGTCAATGAATGTCACATCTGGAAGAAAGACAGAAAACTACAGCTCCAAGGTCAAAGTAAGAACAACTGCCACAAACAAATAATGTGTCTTGATACCATGCACTGCAGATTTCAGTCAATCACGATCAGCCTGTTTTGACTGCTCCTCTCCCAATGCTTCATTAATATTCTGGAGTTGCCAAGTGCCAAAATCAACCTTCAGTACAATAGCTTGTCAAAAAAAATCCTGAAAAGGTTTATGTCTCTCATGTTTACAGGGACTCTGCTTTTATGGTGAGTTGTAGTTTTGATTTCCTGTGAATGTAACCGTAAATCATTTTTTCTCTGTTTGCATCTTTCTTGCCCTCAATATGTCATATAATCACTTGACTCTGCAGCTATTCATCTATGGAGTACAGAATTTGGGACAAAAAAGGCTGTTCTTAATTAAGATAGAATAGTATTAATACTTGGCACATGTATAATGCATTCCAAACCTGCAGGATAAGCCAAGGACCATAAAGAGCTTATAAATATTAATGAATTAAGCCTCTTAATACCCCTGTGAATCCATTAAGCATTATTATCCCCTTTCACAGATGAGGAAACTAATATAAGATGGGGTTAAATAACTTGCCCAAGTCTCAAAATAATTCAGTGCCAGAGCTTGGATAAGACCCATGTTTAAGTCAACTGTGAGTTAAAAGTAGGACTTTTAAAACACCTAAATACCTCAAGAGTACAACTCAAATTCATTTGTACAGGGATCTGCTTCACAGACTGTTTATAGACTTGGGATCTAGGTGAGAAAGAAATTTGAATTATAGTGATTTGAATACTCTAATAGTATGCTTTAATGCAAAACAAGGGTGTCACATTATTACATTTGAAGTCAGTAGTCTGTTCGTTGTGCTGTCCCGAAAAAAATTATTACAAACATTCTGCAATATAAAAAAATATATAAAAGATGCAGAAATTACATTTCTTCTTCTTTTAGAGGGCTATGAGCAATATATTGTTTAGACTTTTTGCAGTATATAATTATGGAGGAATCACCATCTGCTGTTGTTACACATACCAGTTCTATTACTTCTACCAGTTACCTCATGATGACTTTTCAGTAGTTTTAGAATTTTTTTTTGTTAGGGGGTGAGGAAGAGATGAGGAAAGGGGAGTGGGGGGGATGAGAAACGGTTGCAAATAGGAAAAATGCTCTCTACCATCTTTTTTTTGTTATAATCTATTATTCTTGCAAAAAGGTGCTTCTAAGGCTCTAATCATTGGTATTTTGGTTATGATTCCTTAGAAAATTGCCTACATGCTGGTTGACCAACACTGTTCTAGTACTGGCACACAGTGCAAATAAAACAAATTATACTAAGAAAATAACAAGACTCCACTAATTTCTATACCAGTGGCTAATAATAGGTAAGAGACCAAATTCTATGTAACATTATTGCACTCACTTGTGTTATCTAATACTACTAGCTCTGCATTGT